CCCCCCCCCCCCCCCTTGCGCACGGGCCTGATTATAATGAAAGTATATAAATACCTATGATACATTTTTCAATAGAGATTTGGTGTTGAAACAAATCTCCTTCCATGAGATATAAACTAATAAATAACAATTTAAACAATTCCCCGAAATTGTTTTAAGAGAATATGAACTCGCCTTTCACTATTGGGCCTTAAAAAATTCTTGATAGGTTTAATCAATTAAGTACCTATAGGATATAACTTTAAAAATATACAATTTTTTGAAAATGGAAGCAAAATTAAAATGTATGTCTTGTTATTATCAATAGTAGCCAGTAGGTATGTGTTTAGCAACTAATAATCTGTATTCAGGTCTTCTGTATTATTTATAATTAATTTAAGAATATTTTCTAGCATAAAAATTATGATATAGATTAAAAGTAAGTAAAATATGGAGTATATAAAATCAACATTTTTTTATAAATGTAGAGAGGTACTTTTTACAGTAACTATAACTCTGTATATCTACTATAACTGTGTTTACTATTGTACGGTATAGGAAATTTGCTCTCAACAGTTCCAATTTTTTATATTCTTTTGATAGATAGTTATTAATGTATAATGTAATTATAATTACAATGTACAATTATAATGTATAGGCATCATTTTACATATAATGATTTAATTTTGGTGAAAAATGTTAGTCCAAAATCTAAATAAAAAAATATATACTATTGCGAACAGTGTTATCAGGTATCTATCACTTATCATTAAGAAATATTAAATTGAAAATTATTTTTATTTTGATTAAAGTAGGTTTTAAACATTTTTATTTATCTATTTATTATTACAGCAACGGAAAATACGGGTAATAAAATGTAATAATAAAGTGAAAAATATTTGTCACTTCTCCTCAAATCGTTAGAATTCGTTCAGAATGACCAGGTGAATTATAAATTGATAATTTTTGAGGTGACTTTTAATAATCGTATGTGCGATGTACCAATATAATGTAATATTATATATTATGCATTGCATTACGCGCAGTGCGTGCTGAACACGCCATCACGAACGTGTTTTGTACTTTTGTAGTTTTGTGTATACCATCCATGGAACGGTATGTATTACGCATTTAAAATATTATAGTAATACCATTGTACTGTATACGGGCGGGCCGACGGGGCGCTGGCATCGTTGACACGATTCAAAATAATTTTAAATCAGAAATCTCAACGGCCATATTTCCCTTTCCCGCATCGGAACGAGTCGTAGTCGTCGACGGTCGCCGCCGCTTTGTCGATGGGTGGGCGCGGGGTGGTGGGGCCGAGGCCGTACCACATCTACCGACGCGACGACGGCTTACCTCCACGGCGGGACGGTTACAAAACGACCGTTGCCCTGTATCCCCACCAGAAAAATATTGTTGTTTACGCTGCGGCGGCGCACTAACAACGTCGACGAGATAGCAGGACGTTATATTCAAACGCGAAAAACGCTAGAAAAGTGGAAACCCGCGCTTTTTATTGTTTCGTTTCCGTGTCCAGCCGAACACGCTCCGCCGACGTCCGGTCGATCGTTTTGGTTTGTTTTTTTCGACAACACCGCCGCAGAAAATCTTCCCGGGCCGAGTTTCGCTGTTTTTTGTTCACCTGCGCGTTTTCAAATCTTGCGAGTTGTGACCATCCCAGCCGGGCCGTCACGGTTGGAACTGCAACTGTTGTTCTCAAGTGATACACCATGGACGACTTTACAGAGGTAAATCATTGGCATGTAATGGTTACGTATACGATTATTATACAACAGCCGATAGACGTATTACCATACCACTATTATGGGCACCGTGTGAAGGATTCAGTAAGCGTCGCACTGCCGCGTACGGCATCCGTCTTTAATAGAAAATCATTTTTAAATAATGCCTATTGTTTACGGAATGTTTAATTAATTTTAAGCATGTGTAGGTATTTACTTTGGTATTTACATTTGTATTAGGACCAAAAAAATTCATAATAACTCATGTGGTATTAAAAAGAGAAAACAATGTTCACATGTATTTGATACTCGAGTTTGATTTCACTTTAAAATTACTTAACATTTAGTCTATATGAATTACCTATCTAGGTACCTGTGTAGGTATTAAAAAAAAAATTTTAAATCTTTAAAACACTGGTTTGCAACAATAACAGACCTCGTACACTCATTCTGAGGAACTTTTTTCAATTTTCTGTCTATATTTTTAGTTTGATTTATATGTAGGTATTGTAACTGGTAAAACATGTTAATAAGTGTATAGGTACATTTTTAAAATCATTATACCTTACTAGATTTAAATTTGTTGAGGTGATTTGGATCAACTTTTGAAATACAGAAATTATTTCATAGAGTTTAGAAAATCGTTAGTTATTAGTGTTAAATCACTTAATGCTAACCTAACTTAATAAATAACCTAACCTAACCTTAACAAAGCTCAGAAGTTACTGTCATTAATCATTATTATCTTTTTCTCAGTTAAAAATAGGACAGCCATTGTCGGAACGTCTCATTGATGACCGCAAAAAATGATTGTTTCTCTTATTGGAATTAGTTTTAAGCAATTATTGGTAACTTGATGTGGTTAAATACTAATTATGCAATTGTTTTTGCCATTAATTTAGTTTTGTTTGTTATTATGCCTAATAATAAGATGGTAATATAGGTATATATGATGATATTATTATGCCACATTTAGGTAGGTATATTTAGCTACACTTAATGAGACACTAATGACAAGTACCTACTCACCTAAATATTTTATTTGATCATTATTAACTGTTATTATTTATTACTAGGGCTCGGATTGAAATGCCCTAAAAATATCAGAAAAATGCATGAATGACCTAAAAACTCTATAAAATACATTAGGTATTTGTTAAAAAAATTCAAATTATTATTAAACAATTTAATTACACTTGCATTACACTGTACAATAAGTGCTCCTTCAAACTTTCAATTATTAAGTGTGTCATACACCACCTTCATTATTACATTTTTTAATAAAAAAGCTGCTATGTTCAAGCCTAAAAAAAGTGATGACACTCATTGTTCATCAAATATAATACTTCATACGACTTTCCAGTGGTTTCAAAATCAAATTTCAATTATCTCGTATTAATTGTTTTTCCTGGTTAGAATATTAAAATCTCTTTGGATAGTAATGTAATAAAAGTAACGAGTTCTGTAACAACATGATTTTGTTACATAATTTTTTTAGAATTATTTCCTACTAATAAAATTGTTCTATAGTAAAAAAGTTGTAGTTTCGAGTTATGTAGTACATATTGTGAATTCAACAAAAAACTTAAAAAATATGTCTATACTTACCTAATGCATGTATTAGGTATACCTATCTAATATTTAATAGATTTTAACTCTCCATAATTAGTTTTCAATCGTTTTGTCATGTCTAATTGCACCATAAATTACGAGTACAGCTAATTTGTTGTTTCTATTAAATAGGTACACAATATGGAATATGAAAATATGAATATTTAGCTTGGACTGTTATTAGGTATTAATTTTGTATACAATCCATGTTGTTTCCTTTCTTTATAAAATTACTTATTAACTATTTAACTATACGTCTATACCTAAGCACTATTAACACTTAGCTAGTAGGCATATAAATTAAGTACATATAATTTATTTTTCTTTATCATCTATTATTTATTTATAGTACACTTGAGCTTAGAGCTGTACGGAAGCTGCCCAATTTTAAAATTCTATTACTATATTTACAACTTACATAAGAATATAAGGTACTTTTCTGTTATCCCTACTACCGTGAGTCTCCATTCTGTTATCTCGACTACCACGCCAGTGCTGCTACTGCAATTCGCTCGATTACCTGTTGCCGACAGTTGTTGTATTTCGTTACTGTATTTATTAATTTTCAAATAATTATGAATCTGTGGAATTTACCGAACAGTGAAAAAGATGCGATTGCATTTTTTCAAGAGAAGGCTTACTTCCGGGGCACAGTGAATGCAAAAACGGTCATAAAAAAAATTTGAAAAAAAGAAATTTTTTGGAATGCAACGTCAAGACGTATCAGCATAAAACCAATATGTGTGTGGGTAATTGGTTTGAAAATAGTCGTCTGTCTTTTTTAACAATACTCCGATTTATATATTGTTTGAGTGCAGAATTGACCTCCCTTAAATTTTGTGAAAAGCATTTGGATATGAGTTATTGTACGGTTGTTGATTGGAATAATTACATGCTTGAATAATTATTCAACTGCTGTGATAATTTTAGAATTTGTAATTTGACGTTTTGTGATAATTTTGATGACGTTGTACTAATATACATTATTATATAAATGACAATTCATGTGTTTTATGTATTAAAATATAGAACTATCTGGATATTACTTTAGTAGTCGAGATAACAGAATTGAGTGGTTGCGGTAGTCGTGGCATCAAGCGGTAGTAGGGATAACAGAAAAGTACCGAATATAACATTGTTTTTCTTGTAGGTGCTTAGTAATTACATATAAATACCTAATAAAACTAAATATTTTTATTGAAGCGTTATTAATTAGTAGCTAAATATCCAGGCTTCGCCCTTATGTAGTTTTTTTTTTGTGGCAAATCCTATGTAGCTTATATTTTGGTTATTACACTGTATAAGTGTATATCAATTTGAGTGCATCTCAGTTTTAGAGTACCTAGTTTATGTACAAATCCATAGTGGATTTCTAGTTATGTTACTTGTAGAATGACAATTGATAAGACATTTAAAAACAAAAATTATTTTTTTTGCAACGAGCAAGTACCTAACATTCCATTCCAATTTTATTTGAGTAACGAGTAAAGTTATTTCATAATGACTTCTTAAAAGTAACTAATCCAACACTGGTAATAACTAATATGTAACTAATACGATACCCAAATAAAATTTAAAATATTGCTTGCGAGTTGTGGTTTAAATGTTTAAAATGTTTAAAATGTTTAAAATGTTTGAATATATTTTATTATGTTTAAATAGTGTGATGGTTCTACAATATAATTAAGTTTTTATATTTTAGAGTTGAGACTTAAACATTTATTTAATAATATGTTTAGTTTTTAAATAAAATAATGAATTAACATTCACATTAAAAAATAACTATACATTAGTTCTATTGTATGTATAATGTATATTGTCATATTCTAAATTTTGATTGTGTTTCTAGCGCATGTTGGAAAGGACACAAAGGCGTCAAGAACTACTTGCATCCACATTGTCCCAGGTATCTCAACCAGTACTACCGCCTTCATCAAGCATTATGGAACCCTCACCAGCAATTCAGCAATCACTTTCACCACCTTCACGTCGTCAACGACGTACTCGCCTCGCTGAACTTGCCAGCCAGGTGGATCAATGGTTGTCAGATGATCAGGACTTTAAACAAAATGAAAATATTTCCAATCCCACGGTAAATATATCAAAAGTTATAATAGTAAATTGTATATAAAGTACAGTCATTGATTTTTGATTAGATAGATGTTCCTTCATCTCATGTTTTATCATTATTTTTACAATAATTTTATTTATATTGTTATTTTTTTGTTTATTATAAAACCAATGTTACAGCTAATGCAATATTTATAATAGTACTTGTATACCTAAAATTATGTACACAGTAAATTTGTAATTTATACTTAGATGCATTTGATATACATTAGTAGAAGTATTACTGATGTAAACTGTATTTTTAAATTTTTTATTTAGAAGACAGTGCAAAGTAACGAAAGCCAAAATGAATCTAAAAAATTGATAATTGTGTCTCCACAACATACTATTACAAAAGATATAATTAAGGTAATACTATAAGGTTATCAATAGTAAGATTACATTGGAAGATACGTATTACTTGCATTGCATCACTACATTGCTATAATTAGATACAGTTGTCACTCGATAATTCAAACCTCCATAATTTGGCAAACTCCATTAATCGATCTAAATGTTTGATCCCCTCTATAATTAGGAGAAAATATATGTATTTTGGTCCCTTCAATAATTTAAAATGTCTGTTGTTGGAAAACACTACAATTCAAATTTTGGGACAGAACCTCTATAATTCAAATTTCTATTTCGATATTTTTAAGATTATGTATGCACATATAAATAATCTATTTGAATTTACTATTAGTTATCAAACTAATATCAACCATGATAAAATATTATCGTACTTTATTACTACCTAACCTACCCTAATCTAGACTTAAATTGCATCGTTTTACCAAAGTAAACCTTTGCAATGGGTAAAGGTCAGACTGAATATGGGTCCCGTAAAATATAAATGTTTGTCATTCGTCAAAAAAAAAGTGATCGGTCGTTAAAGCTGGTAAAAAAAACCCCTTTAAATCAAATTTTTAGCTCAGTTCTCTAAATTTTGAATTATCGAATGGCTTCTATATAATGTTATTTAAAATTATAATAAAAGTTTATTTTGATATTTTTGCTTTCTAGACTAATGAGAATAAATCAGCTGGTATACAGCAACCAAAATCACTGCAGTATAGTAATAAACTGAGGCAATTACGCCAGCAGCAGCAGTCAGATAATGAATCTCTGCCTCAAAAACATTCACCAAATCCCACAGCTACTACATTGACAGTTGCACAACGTCGAGCATTATTTGAGCCAAACAATGCTACTCAACAGCAGAGTAAAAAACCAATTACCACTACTACTGTAACCATATCTCTGACCAAAACTACTCCTGCCACTGTCGTTACTAAAACTCCAACAACTGTTGACAATGAAGCAACTGAAGAATCTGTAGTAGATGTTATTAAAACGCCACCACGTCCTATTCCTTGTAGTGCATCTACTCCACCTTCAAGACGTGGCACTAGACCTAGGACAAGCTTTGGTGCTGCCGCAGCCTCAAATAATTTCACTGAACCGCAACGCTCTGTATGGACTCCACCGTGTATAAAAAATGTTCTTCTAAAAAAGAAATTGATCAACGAACTGGAAGACGATGAAAAAATGCCTGATAATAGCTCAAAAGACACAGTGGGAAAGAGAAGTCCTTTTGATAAATATAATCCAGGTACAATAATAATTGTATACTAATCTAACCTTATATAAACAACTCAGTATTACACTTGTTTTTCTTCGGTTGATCCTTTTGTCAATTGACAGATAATCCTCATCCACAAGAAGTTGGTAAACATCAAATTAAAGTATTTATTGATCCACTGATGATGAACCTGTATAATACTGGCTTAAGATAATATTAATACTATACTCACGCCCACACATTACTATTTTCATGTATTATTGCAAAAAACTACCTTCGAATTATTTTGAACACCATAATATGGTAAACCTTGCATCTTGCTTTTAACAACATTTGAGGTATTATTAGACTTAAATTTAAAAAGCATTAATAGTATGTTTTGTGTATTTTAAAGTAAAAAAATATTATTTGTAAAGATTCATGTTATTAATGATCCCGCTTCTTTTTTGTTTTACAGGTTGTATAAAATACAAGCCAGCTTCACCATCTTCCAATTTATATCCAGATCTTTCTTTGATAGCAAATGATGACCATGAAATCGAAACTTCAATGACTCCATTGGAGGTCCAATCTATGGCATGCAAAGTAATGGTGTTGGTTTTTTTTATTAAATGCATATATTATATTTATAATTTCTATAATCAATGTGTACAGAGACGCAGCAATGGAAGCAGTGCTTTAAACACTTCTACTGCATCTTCTGAATCTGTACCTGAAGAAAGCGATGATGCTGATATTTTGGGTGCTAAACGCTATCGGTGTCAGCAGAAAGAAAACAACCCAGACACAATTGACGTAACTGCACTTCAAGAGGTTATTATTGGGATATATCTGTATATCATTTATACTCATATTAACTAATGATTTTATATACGTTTATAGGAAACTACTCAATCCACTCCTGTTACAGGGTTTAATACTACCCCTGGTGGCGGCCATTGCTCTATGCTATCAAGCCATGCAGGTAGTCCACTGTCTCAGGCTTGTTCTAGTTTTATATTCCAGCGTGGCAATGAAAGTCTTTATGGTAACAAAAGTTTTTCTACCTCATTGGAGCAAAGACAAGGTTTAGAAGATCAGCAATTCAATGTACGGGCCAATCAATTACCTGAATCACGGCTCATTGACAAATACTTTGAGTTTGTGAACTCTGATGGAGAAGAAGAAGCAGCGGAACTTATTCCCAATAATGTCTTATCGCCTGATCGGTTAGGTCCTCGTGGCCGACTCCAGTTTGACAACAGCAAACATATTGTTGACAATGTTGAACATAACAATAGCAGTGGGAGCAGCAGCAGTAGCAATAGTGTTAAGCCAGCACTTGTACACACAGTTAGCACATACCGTAAACAACAGCAACAGCTCCGATTAAATGGCGCAAATTCTTCTAGCAAGGTATCTGTCGTGCATTGTTTCTATTATTCACTTTGTTATTATTTTAAATCATATTATCTTAGGTTAGTAATAAATTATTAATGTTGATCTTAATTTACTACTTGTCTTTTATTTCTTATACAAGGTTTAATAGAAAGACCTAACAAATGAAATAACTTGTTTTAATCAACATTCAAACTTTTATATTTATATATGCTTTGTATAGTATTATTATTTATATACATTTATATTTTCTTTTTAGTACATAATTTTATTTTTTATTACCTAGTGAACATAATCAATTTTAATTATATTAAATTGTTTTGGAGTAAATCAAAGTAACAAATTTTGATGGTAAATCGTTTATTTAAGTTGAGTAGTCAATCTTTTGTTATTTTTAAAAATAATCTTTCTGGGAATTTCCTGAAATAAGATTATTTCTTAAATTATTCATTATCTGTATAGTTTTCTTAATTTTTGTCATATATTGAACTAATTTCAATTTTTCAATTTTGTGAGTCAGGTCTGTCTATTACTCCCTGTATATATGATGATCCTGAACTTATGTGTATAATTTTCTTTAGCAACAAATGAGAATTCCAGAACGTGTAAATGAAGAGCAGGATGAAGATACCGACGAAGAAGAGATGCATTTACAAGAGCTAGAAAAAGTAGCAGCACGGGCTAGAGACTTAGAACGAACGGTAGTGCCAGAGCAAGACCGCATTATTGAACAAGCCACCCAAGCTTTGAATATTTGCGATGTATACAGGCAAAAAAATACCCTTCGCCCAGTGATTTCTCATCAATTTTCCCCAGAGCATGTTCATGCTGAACGACTTTTGTTGATAGCAGGTAAATACCATAGTCATTACAAGTTTAATGTTCAAAAGTTTATATACTTCGAGTGGAAAAATTCATAGGATGCTTTACACAATATAATTATCTAAATATACCAGAAATGTGCAATAGTTATTTTTTATAAATACTTACTACCTAAAATAAATTGTATTATAAGAAATGTTATAACTATAAAATAATAAATATAAGGTTTTTATAATATTTTTGAACATTTTATCTACAAGTAACTAACAACTATTGAACTCATAATTTTTCTAGCTATTGCAATCTTAACTTTAAAACCGGTACTACGTTTCAATCTATACATTTTAATTTTTTTAAATGGACCATGATATATTAAGCTGGTTAATTCTGATGATGTATTGTGAATTTTTTAATAACAATCAACATCCTTATTTTTGTTAATGTTGTTTTTATTAATTTATAAAAAAATTGGTAGAAACTGGTTTTTATGCTTTTAATTTTGTATTATTTATAGGCTTGAGACGAACAGACGCAGTTCGTGAGGCACAACGGCTTCGGGTTGAGCGCACATTGTTACCAGGTGGCATCATGGGGGAAAGGTCCACTTACTTAAACACTCATGGTGATGGAAAGACTCTTGTTATTCAGAGTCTGCGTGTTCCCATATTGTCATCCTTAAACAGTGGTGGAAACCACAATAAGATTAAACATAATTCAGGCGAAGGATTAGAAAACCTTACCAGATGGCCTGGAGGGTATAGGTATTTTGTGTGTGCCATCCGAGCCGTGGCTACGGTTCACCGGCCTCCAGTGACTGCTGCTTCCCGACCGGCTGATGCGGTTGAAGAATTAGTGCTCCGATTCTCCAATGATGCTGCCACCTGTCAGAACAAGGATGAAATAAATTATGGATATGTTGAATTCATTACTAAAAAAAGAGTCAAAAACTCTGGTAGCCGAAAGTGTGCAGGTCCAACCGAAGCGGAGGGTGCTCCTATAATGATCCATGGATTAGATGACAGAGGATGGAAAATCACAGTTGAGCTATATGGTGTATCCCCAACGGGTATTGGGGAGAATGACCTTCACAATGGCGGTAATAATGTCAAGGAACACGATACCCACGAAAATAGGAGTGTATTGGTCAGTATTTTGTTGCAGACAATGTTGGTATTGTGTATTTAAATTAAAAAAATTCAATTAATCCGATAATTTATAAGTTATAAATATCGTAGAAATTTGTTACAGCGAATTTTGAGGGCCATCAAGTTTTTCTCATTATAACCTGTAGCTAATATTATATAAATAAACCAATGTTTATTGTAACTGGTTAGAAGCCGGAAAAGTAAAAATACGGATGATTTTATTTTCCTTATAGTTGAGATTATAAATATTATTTACTACTGTTAAATATTAATTATAATTGAAGGAAGATTTAATACTATACTTATGAATACATATTACTCAAACATAATTCAATACATATAAATTATTTATACATTTGAATTTAAATTCTTAAAATAATCTTTGCTTCATGGAGTATTAAGTGTTAACCGAAGTTTCTAATAAAAACTATGCTTATATCTCATCATCTGTAACATCATATAGCAGCTTTAGAGATTTATGGTACAGATCTAATATCGTCTAGCTCATCAATATTATTAACTGGTTCAACTGAATATGTGCTTATTCTAGGATCTATCGGTTTGTCCGTTCTAACCAATGCTCGCTGTTACAATTTCTACTGTAGTAGTATACCATATTTCTGTAGGTACTCTCCGAATTAATTGTAGTTTATATCTATGCAATACTGAAATGTTTTAAATAATTTTACACAGTACCGATAGATGCTATTTGAATTATTGCTTGTATAAATACTTTTCTATTATTTTAATATATATTTTTATCTTTTAAACAGGACAAGTTATGGTCTACAGTCACTACCCCCAGTAAGGAATCCAAAAAACACCATGGCTCAACTGCAACAACCTGTATTGAATCACCAGGTGGACCAATGGCTGTACGAAACACAGTATTCCGACAACTTGGTTACTTTGTATTTTCTGATGGCCAGGTGGACCGCAAGCAGTTTACTTTGAATAAGGTTTTTACTGTCTTAGTCTATGATAATTTATCTATTGATCTAATTTTGTTACTTTATGCGCAGGTGCATCAATCTGGTTCAAGCAGTTCAAGGGCTACTTCAAATGCTGCTGCAGAAGAAACGGTGCGCGTCCGCATGTGCCTTCTGGAGGAAGGAGAGCAATATGAAGATGACTTAGGTGGTATACATTTGGACAACAAATCTTCGGAAACAAATACATATGCCTCTGGTGGTAGTAAGGCAGTTCGGGCACAAAAAACACTGACATTTCCATCTGAGTGTAAACGATTGGAAGGATTTTTAACACTTTTTGACGATCATGAGTTGCGTTCACACAATTTTGTAAGGGAGTCTCAGTGGCAACGTCGTGCGGACATTGGTAGTGGGCCAAAAGGTGGCACCACTTCTTGGCGTCGTCTTTGGTTTCGGGCTGAAATAATTGATGGAAATCAACAAAAATCTATTAATATCAATGATGAATCACAAGAACAGCAAAATGACAACAATTTAAAGCAGCAAACTATAGTGTTGCGTTATTGGATGTACCCTGAGTATGCTGAACAAGAACGAGAGGTACTAATAATAATATATTCATTAAGAGGATCGTAGCTACATATTTTTCATGCATTTCATACATTAAACGGTGGTAAATTACACATACTTCACCATATCCAATTTTAATTTCTAATGTGTGTATAAATTCTTTGATAAATTATCCAAGCTCTTAAAGAAATTGATTTCCTTATTTCAATTTTAAAGAATCTTAAAATTAAGTTATTACTTAATAAATTCCGTGAAATAATTGCATTATATTTATATTTATTTTAGGAATTAAAATGGAAAAATTGATTTCTAAATAGCCTAAATAACAATCAAACTTTATTAAGTATGTTTAATTTACTACCACTTTTAATAGTTCTTATAACTGCAAAAGAGTTCATTTCATTTTCTGCAACCTATGAACCTAACCTTGGCATATACGTGTACTTGCGAGAATTAATAGCAATAAAGAATTACATACTTATGTTCATATCTTATAGATTGCCTAAATCTTACTCCTTAAAACATCCTATGCTTCAGCCCCCTTTAAATATATGTAAAATAATGTTGCTATTGTTATTGCTAATTTCGAGATTATATTAATATATATTTTTTTGTATCATTTATAAAAGAAAATTTACTGAAGTTTGAAAAATATAAAACCAATAGATTTTCGAACAGTTGACAAATTGTAGATTCTGATTATAAAAATTAAAAATAATAAATTGAAAAACCATCATTTTTATAGCTAAAAAAATAATTTCATATTTTAAAAAATTTAGTAAGATCCAATGTGCAAGAATTGTAAAGGAGATATTTCTTTAAACTATAACATCATTTTTTAAAAAAATGATCTATAATTTACACTGTCACTTGCTTGCACCCAGGTACATTTTTTGTATTAATTGTGGCACTCCCTTAAATTTTAAATCAATTTTTTACTTTAATTTTCTTATTTTAAAAACAACAATAAGGTAATTGTGAAGTGAATTGTCTTGGTTTTTTTTTTTTTTAGAAGTTCTAGAATTTACCTTACAGTTGTGATAAATATTAATATATTACGTTTTTTTTACAGCCATTAGGTAGTATAGACTTGAACTGCTGTCTACCGACACCGCCACTTGAGGAGAAAGTTACAACTACTATCTCAGGTCAGCAGCAAAAACATAAGCAGAAGCCAATCCCTGCAGCTCCTGCACTTCCAGACCTATGCACCCGACCAAACACTCTGCGTTTGATTTTGTATAATGCTGGTGCTGCATGTGATAGCATCAATAGTGAAAATAATGATGATGACAAAACTCATGAAGTACTGCTACTTGCTGCTGATACAGCAGATGAAAGGCGTGAATGGTGTGAAACGGTAAATGCAGCAGTGAATGCTATTAATGAGCACCGTGAACAGATCAGGTTAGTTTTGGCTACTCAATTGAAGAATAAACAATACAATAATGAAAAGGAACAACAACAACTCCGACATCAAATTGAACAACGTACTGGTGCTTGGCCGACTACGCCAGGTGGTACACGCCAATATAGCAGTAAAAAAAAGAAGTTCTACAAATAATCGATAACTTCAAAATGTATACCTCAAATTTTTTATAGCTCATTTTATTTGAGGTATCTTATTATTCATTATATATTATTATTATTATTATTATTATTATTATTATTATTATTTCGTTTATTTTTTTTATAATACAATTCAATGTTACGTGTAAGAAGTTATATTTGAATTTTTAAAATTCAACTCTTCATAATATATTTTTAATTGTAGTAATTGAATTATAGTTTTCAATGCAAGATAAGTAAAAAAAACATTATTTTTAAAATTTTTTTTTTCAATTATTTTTTGTTTTATAAATATAATAACTATGACTATGTTGCATGTTATTACATCATAATTTATTAGTACACAAATCTTGGTAATTTGTTATTATATGTTCTTGCGAATTATTAATATTATTTACATGTATTTGAAGCTTATTGTAAGAAGTGAAAATTTACTCCTATCTTATTTTATTTACATTAAACACAATGATTAATTTGAATGTTTAATTGTTAACATTATTGTTTGGTGTGTTACAGTAAGTTATTCTTTAGAAATTAATACCAAGTTTAACTTAGTCCTTGGTAAAAATAATTAAAATACTCAACATTATTATCAATGCAACTCAAAAAAATAAAAATAAAACTTATAAAATGTAGTACACAATTACACAAACATTTTCACAGGTAATATCTTCAAAATGTATGAATATTTAGTACATTTAGTAGACGTCTAACTAGAAAAAATATTTTTACTCATTCTATTTTAAGCTAACGATACATTTTGCATTTGTGATATTATAGTGTTCTTATTTTGTAAATAGATTTGTGTTAAAACTAGCAGTGTATTTAGGTAAGGGCTATCAGTCCTGTTGCTCAAAGTGGCAATTTTTTAAAGATTTTGATTGGCCTAAATTTTATAAAGATTTTTAGTGATGGCAAATTTATATTTTGCATGTTACATTCTATAGACCGACGTCAGTCATTAATATTTTTCTAGCAAATGTGTACTCCCTTTCTCTATCAGAGTTTTTTTTGATGGGTTGGGAAGGAGCAACGAAATATATGTTGCCTCTATCCTAAATAATTAAATACGCCACTGGTTATAAGTTATAACCTTATGGTTATATAATATGTAATATGATAATGATACTAGTTATACACAGACAAGCACTTTAGTACTTGTTTCAACTTCTATCAAATAACAAAATTTATTTTTTGTCATAGTTGCTATAATTGTTGCATAATAAATAGATATCTTTAGCAAACTTTTAAACTTTTGGGACTTTTAATAGTCTTGTTAGAGTAAAAAAGTTTTACATAGTACTAGTATAATAGATTATTTGTTCATTGTTATCTATTTTTATTACTTACATTAAATTATGGAATCAGTTCAGGTTAAAAATTGTATTGCACTTTGACTAGTTAATGTCTTGGACAATCAGTCATTGCATGTCCATCACCACCGACCAGTCTACTACGTGTGGAAGAATATTGTGACTTCTAAACAAAAAGTACTCATAATTTGACTGTTGAGTATGTTTCATATCCTACAGAGAGTATATCATAATTTAGCTATTCTATTTTAGTATTTAGGTATGAGTCATTCTAAGCTCAATACATTGGCTTTTTTTAGTATTAATTTTTAATCAGTTGGTACCAAATAATTGTTGACTTCAAATTGATTGTAATAGTTTTAACTTAAAACTATATAGAAGAATGTAAACTATTTTTAGAAGTCTTATAGAAGTATATGGTACAAGATAGTATACTAATTTGTTTGACTAAATATACTGTAATAAAGTGTCGGCTAGAGATACATATCTATTAATGTCACATTGCACTATAACCAGGGTATTGATTTTTTTTTTGTAAATCATAAACACATTTTATTTATTAGAAGTAAAGTAAGACAGTGAGGGAAAAGATCACATGAAGTAGAAAATATATTTTTTTTTTACAACTTCAGGAATCTATTGTATTACATATTAAGTTCAAGTACACAACAAATAAAATTAAATAAACGAGTTTGGAGGATTCAAACAGTATGCAATTAAAATATAATATTGTTGAAATCCATTAAATGTCATTGCATAATGCCATAAACCATATTGTTATAACCAAATAACCAAATTATTGCTTATGGATTATGATGTAACGTTCAAATCATTAATTGGAGTAAGTTTTGAACAAAAAAAATTCAAAAATTACAATCAGCCTACAATACCTAAATAGCTTAAGATTAATCGCTAGGAAAGGAGAAATTGATATTTTATATGTAAATATCCAATGTTATTAACATTTGAACTTCGATTAGTTATAAAAAATGTGTTTAATTTTTAAACCTGCTGCCTGTACTATGTACTAGTTACCCGGTGAGTCAATCTGCCCTCGCATGAGGGCTTTGTACAATCGGCAATTGCCGAATTCCGTCTCGGGTTGCTGAAAATGATCGAATTCCGTCCCGGGGTGGAGCAACTATGTCCGAATTCCGTCCCGACTAGTTTTATTTGGGCTGAATATTAACCTAACCTAACCTTGTGTATCCCGCGTACCACAAACAGTTGCGAGTCATTTCATTCGAAATTCAACAGTTATTTTTATACTTCAAAATCAAACATATTTCAATTCACAGAAGCTGTAAACTGAAATTTATATCAAAATGCGGAGTACATTGCCAAAATCAAAAATAACATTGGAGAGAGATCAGTTTTTAAATGATAAAATGATGCTTTGGAAAAGTCGAAACATAGATAGACACCAGTTTGTGTGTCTGGTGTCGTCTAAGTTTTTACCAGCCTATTTCAAATCTAAAAAAATAATAATTTAAATAATAATTACACATAACATATATTATACTTATACTCTTAAATTTATTAAAATACTTATATGACTGTCATATGTATACATAAATGGCATATACTGTAATATAAATAATTAAGGCTGTTTTGCAGGATTTTACATTTTAAAACATGCCAGTTCTAAGCCTGGAGAAAATGTGAAGGAAAATGTTACTGCCACCTATATCATAGTTACAAGTAGTAGGACGGAATTCAGACATAGTTGCTCCGCCTCCGGGACGGAATTCGGTCTTCAGTTATGGAACCATAGGGGGCCCGGGACTGAATTCGGTACCAGCCGTACAATTGTACCCAACACACCACTAGAACATCCATGATGGAAACATCAAATTGTTATAAAGGTAACAAGGTTTTAGGGTTTGTAAAATCATGCTCTATACTTATGTATTAAAAACTGTCAAAATATTCCTTAAAAAGTTCAGACATATGCATCAATATCCATGATAAATCTAAAACTTAGCGGATTAAAGAAGAAATCGTAAGCAATTTTCAGAATAATAAGAAATCCATTCATATTTTCAAAAGTTGTATTTTTATCATTTTACGTTGCTACAATTCCCGTACATTTTATAAAGTGAAAAAATATGAACTATTGCATTTTTCATAAAATTAAGGTTTTTTTACAGTATTTCAATAAAAATAATATAATTTATAACTTATGTAGTATAAAATAAGAATATAATAAGTAAATAATAAATTAACAACAACTTTATCGACTTTATGACACAAACTTTATAGATAGCGTGTTTATAGATTTTGACCATCAGCACTTCATTCTACTTCTTTTTTTTAAGACATTTATGATTTATCTAATATAAGCAATATTAATTTTCAGGTGATGGCATTCTCTCATGCCATTATACCGTTTCTAGTTGTAGCGCAATTTTGCCACATTATGTAACATGTAAGCAATTTGTTAAAAATACAAAACATTTTGATGCAGATCAACTATTACTATTTTTAAGTAAGGTTTTATAGCTAAAAAGTTCATTACAAATAAAATACATTTTTCAGGGTATTTTTACCGGTTTCTGATAGGTACGTTAAGTACCTAGCTTGGTATACTATTTTGTGTTAGATATTTAATTTCCTAAATTGATAAATACATTTTTTTTTTATAATGATTGTAAGTTTCTAATAATATATCAAAAATTCATATAAGATGTTTCTCAAAATATTATCTTTTATTTCTACAATAAGGTATTTCCCATTAAAATTGATCTAAAAGCGGTTATTGCCGATCTGCATCAAATTTTTTCTTAAAGGTATCTACAGTAATTATCTTAAGACTTAAGTATTAGTAACATTGTAGTCTTTAAAATATACATATAAATTATTAATGATGCTCGTAGTTCATCTTATACATAGATAAAATTGTCTTAGGTATGGATATATCATGTGCATATTATGAATAAAGTACCATACACAGTTGTATAGTGGTGTTGGTTCAAACAAAATTATTTTTATTTTTGATGTGATGATACCGCATTTCTTAATAAGCTGGCATAGTGGCATACCTATGCGCATTGTGTATAATGTACACTTATTAATGAGTTTTATTGAAACATAGTATTTTATTCACGAATGCAATTGATATTATATTCTTACAGTTGAGGGTAATTGGATAAAGCGATTTTAAAGCTTTGCATTACAACTTAGCCACTACCCACATGCTCTATGAACCTTCAAATCATGTGTCATTACGAGAGCACGAATTTATTGTGACACAAAAGGGTTGGTAGAAGGGTAGCCACCACCTCTGAAGCAACAACCCCACCAGCAAACCATTGGCTTAATCAATTTCAGGGGTTGATAAATCACATTGTGTGTTGAACGCATTGTACGAAGCTAGTAACTTATGGCAACCGTCGCCAAGCAACAGCTTATTTTTTTTACTGTAATCATAATATTTACACCGCCTAGACGAGGCGCAGGAGCAGTAACAATATCTTACAGTGCTTTTTAATCATATCGTTGATCTTTTAAGGATGAATGTAAATTTAATAGTATCGAGGTACTTGAATAGGTACATTTTCAATGACTTAACAACTTACAAGTATAATCCCGCTTGTAGTATCTATATATAATACCTATAATAGGAGTACTGAAATTCAATCATTTAATTTGTTCACAAAACATTCTTATTCGTTCATCCACTTGGTAGTTACTATACGGTGTGTTGACTTCAACTCATTTGTGTATTTAAGTTTTATCTGGGGGTAATGGATAAACATTTTTATATATAGAGGCCAAAAGTATCACCATTTTATCCTTTTGATCAGCGGGTAGTCAAAAGTATAATTAGAGCAGAGAAAAACAATTCTTTCTATCAAAGTAATCGTGGCATTCTAATACAACATAAAAGAGTTGATTTTGACCAAATTTATGAAGAATTTGATTAAAGACTTAAGCGGATTCGTTTAAGATTACTGACATATAAATTAAATAGTTACCAACATAATTTCTGTCTAGATTTTCGTCAATATCTTTGTTAGATTAAGTAAACGCTTGATTTTAAAACTTAAGCCGTTTAGAAATCATTATAATGCCCACTTTCGGAGTTATATCATTCCTGATATACCTATCCTACATAAGAACTAAACAGAGATGTTCACTGTGTGACAATGAATTTTATTTTATTTTCACAACAATTGAGATGTATATGATTGAAACTATAGTATAAGTAAAACTATTTTCAAAATTCAAAACATGGTCTTTGAAAAGTTTATCTAAAAATTCTGCTATTTGTTGGAATCCAATTGTAAACTAAAGAATGCATAATATGCACATCAGCATATTGTTGGCTAATGGTTTTACTATGATGTCATTTTTATTATGTATTTGATACTTTGTGTAAAAACTTATAAACAAGTACTGGAGCCCAATTTTTTTTTTGTTATATCACGGTCTTAAATTATTGTATATTTTCACTTTTAACAATCATTGAGTTTTAAAAATGTTTACAAATAAAAAGTTATCAAGTCCACCATAGAATTCTATTATATTATATTTATCTCAATAAACTTAAGAATCAATTTGATGAAGGGCAAAACCTTCGCTAATTTACTGGCGTTCATGTATTTTCATTCTCTGTACACAGATTAAATATTTTTTTCGATACTGTTGCGCCCTCTTATGGCTTCAACAACAATCCAGAATTATTGATTTTATAATATAAACGTGCAACACACCGACGACGTTAGTGGTATCCTAGCGACCGATACAGCAGCTGTCCATGAGGGTGGCCACAGCTGCGTTCGAGGGTAACATCCCTTACCGATAAAAATAATATTACATACACCATTCCCAGACAGTCAGTGTTGAATGTTGGATTATTTTATTAAAGGTGTTTGGGCATCAATCAATAATTCCACGAAAGGACCGTTATAAATAAGCTAATGCACTATATTTACAACTTTATAAGCTAGGTATTTATAATTTTTAATACACATATATTATTATGTGTACTCTTCACGTTTACATTTAAATTAAAATATGTATTATAAACCTTTTACCTTTTAACCCATAAGTTATTTCAGGACAATAATATTCCATTTAACTAATACAATTAATGACATCATATTGTGCAATTCAATAAACAATGGTAGGATCCATAACACTAAAAAATACCCTTGACTTTCAATCGATTTTCTTAATAACAAATTCATAACCATAACATTGTATTTCAACAAATTAAAAAATTATACATTTTATCCTAGCACAGAATAGTTATAAGATTTAGTCATCTTAAATAAAATCACCCAGATAATGGAAAACCTCAAATAAATTTGCCTGTGACTTTCTAAGCTAACTTTGGTAAATTCAAATCGTATCCTGGTAGTATCGATATCATCCCTGATATAAGCCAGTCTAAGACTGCCATGTTATATACCTGTTACATTATATAATATAACATTTTATTGGGCCGGGCCTGAGAGGATTGAACTCGATATTTATTTTACTCAACTTAAATCAAAAAAGCTGTTTAAATTACATTAAACTTAAAATGCTCGGATTTCAATTTTTAAAACATGTTTTACTTATTTATGGTCTTATACATGTTTGGAAATATAAATTGAATAATAATTGTACCGTAATGTTACTTTTGGTAATTTACATAATGTATTTTGCTTTATACTATATATGCAGACAGTGGCGTATTTTCAAATTTTTCTGGGGGGGGTCCTCAGTTTTTACATAATTAATATAAAAAATGATATCTTATAATAGTTACGTCCTTATGAAGTTTTTGGAGGAAGTTGAATAAAATATATAATAGTATAGTCTTATGTAATATTATATATTTATATATTGTATTAAGCACTACATATGAAAAGTATTGTTATAAAATAAATTCCAGTCGTCTAGATTTTTTTGCCAACTCCTCTATCACTTCATCAACAGTGATTTCAAGATCCCTGTGAATATTTAACATAGCCAATCCGTTAAGTCTTTTCTAACAAAACAAAACAACCACAAATATTAGTTTTAAAATTAAAATGTCTTAATAATATTTTATTACCTCAGATATTGTATTTCGTAGATATGTTTTAATTCGTTTTAGTGATGAAAAAGTCCGTTCGTTTGAAGCCGTAGATATAGGAAGTGTAGACAAAATTTGAAATAACTTATTAACTCCTGGATATATGTCTGCATTACACAACTTCAGTGCATCAATTGAATTTTTTGGTTTTATTTCCAATTTTTTAAGTTTTCTTTGCCACAGTTGGAACTCTTCTATTATTGAATTATTACCATTTAAATCTTCTTCATAAAATACAGCTTATCTTTACCACTAAATATAACAGTATTAGGGAATTCAAAAGTAGGTTCGGGCTTCCAAATTTTTTTAAGAACTTCTTCTTTCTCTACATCTGTTAACGAGTGGTTAAAATAAAATCCAATATCGAAATTGTTAAAATTATGTTCATTTTCTGTTTCAGTATTGTCAGATTTTTTTGACATTTTGATACGTTTGACATTATTATCTATATTTGGTGAAATTGGTCGTTTATTTGGAGAAGTTACGGAAACTGAAGATTTGTGATGGTCAAATTGTAGAACATTTGTATCATTTGATTTTTTAAAAAATTGGCTTAACGAAGTTTGCTGAGACATAATAAAAGCAATATATTGTGTACTTACTTAATATTGATCAAAATACAATAAACACTTGTTCACTGGTTCACACGTTACTCGTATAGTTGTTGAAGGCAAAATGAGACTAATAGAAAATGTGTAATATCTTATAAAAGCCACTAATTTATATTTTATTATACCTATCCATATATGGCTATTGGCTACACAAATATTGCTAATTGCTATACACACAAATCCATCCATAATCGTTTTTCTGTGTGATAAAGTTTATATTTCAAAGATACGGGTACTTGATACCTATTAATTTTATCGGTTTATCGCACTTCGTATAAGGTCGTTACATAGAAAAACTGTCGTCAGAATAACATTACTATAAATTTATAATACGTCTTATTACTTAAAACCATGCTATTATATTTTGTTCACGGGAAAAAACTATATCCGCGCGACCGAGCGTGCTTACATAAATCGGGTTCTGCAAATATGTAAGAATTTTAGTTTTTTTTTTTTTATGAGAGGTTCTGGGGGGGGTCCAGTACCCCTGGACCCCCCCCGTAAATACGCCACTGTATGCAGACTTAAAATTAAACAATTTTCTAATCCCACCTAAGCTTTATTTGGTTTTGGGGGGATTATTATTGCATTGCACGTAATTTCTGCGTGTAGTAAGTGGACATATTATTTCCTGAGTTGTTTATACATGACAAAGAATTTCTTACTTACTGTGTTAGTTTACTTTTTAGATACACACCTGAAATAAAAATATGTTGGAATAATTGTCTGATATTTTAGAGGCCAACTCCAATTATCATTATTAAATATTAATCGAGAAACACAAATCTACACACAATTACAGCACCTGTCTATAATATAAGTCATTATTCATAATAATATTTATATGTTTTTATTATTTAAACTTATATGCTTTTACCGAAGCTTTGCACAAGCTTATAAAGTGTTTTAGTGTTTTTTTCTAAGTGCTTCATACGGGAATATTTCCAAAAGTCATTGAAATGTATAATATATCAATGTATTATATATTAAACTATAAAAAGTAATAAGTAATAACTAATACAATTAGATATTTTAAAATTATACATCTCTTGTTATATTGCTATTTAAGTACTATTTTATACTATAACTTTATGAACATATAGTTGGATAAATTAATATGATGGGTAAAATTACACATATTCGAAATGCATAAAATATGATAATAACTAATAAGTATTGTTAAAATAAATAATGTAACAACCTATAAGGATATAAAACCACGAACCTTTGACATAACTGTAATTTGCTTTATACGATATAGACAGGCAAATGCAACTGTCAGTATATTTTATCGGTAAAATAATTAATTAACTAAAGTGTATTATATTGTTTAACTTAAGTATCGGGTTCGTTAAATATTTACAGAGAAAATGAATACAGGGGCAGCGTAGCATGACAGTAGTAGGTGCTAGCTCGTTAGTTTGCCGAGTATCAACGTCGCCGGCGACAAGCCATGCTGTTTGCAACAGTGGTTACAGAAATCAGTAAACATTGATTGACATTAATTGATTTTTACTGTTTTTAAAATACCTATTTTAATTAAAACGTCCTGGCTGATAACATTTAATCGAAATACCGTAATGAAACCACAACGTATTTCACGAGGACTCGACAATAAAATAAAATATAATTTCAGATGCACTGCACTATAACCAATATAATTAATAATATCAAACCAATCAAACTGTTGTGGCTTCAGGGGGAAGACTTACAAGCTTTGAAAAAGTCGAAGAAAGTAAATCATGGGAATTTTCATTGAGTATATATTGTGCTCAAATATTATTTATCATTCATCAAATATATAATATGTATATATAATATTTATACTAGTTAGTAGTTACTTTTTTAAACTACTTATGGCACCTTTTTATCAATGAACTCTTATGTAGGTTCTTAATACTATCTAACAGTATAGGTATTTAGTAGCTGCTACCTTGAATTTGTTTCTAAACCATAAAATGAGTATTAGGATTAATCCGTGGCAAGAGGAGGGGGAAATCAATGTTTTAATTTTGGTGTTTATATTATTTTGCTCCCTCTAGGTTTTTAACCAATTACACCACTGCCTGACTAGTTTTAAGTTTGTAATAGGGTTGGAGTGATGGGCCACCTCCTACGGTAACCGTCAAATCCGACAAGAATATAAGATTTGGCAATAGCTTGGAATAAACTAGTCAGCAGATAGTCAAATATTGTATTATTTTTATTCGTCAATTATTACCTATAGATCAGCGGTGGTTCTTAAACTTGTTTTCGCATACCACCCATGCGCATTATTATTCTGCCGTGTACCACTTATGTTTGTTTCCATGTTCAAACACAATTAAAAATATTCATTTGTTTACTCTCCATTCTACCCCTTTGTAGTGTTCCGCGTACCACTAGTGATACGAGTGGTACTTTAGTTCGAGAACCACTGCTATATAGATGATAGATATTAATATATGCTTACGATATTCGGTTTGCCTGCAATAGTCTCCATTATATCATTAAAAAAAAGTACATACTACATACATTGCTTCAAAAGATAGTTTATTCTAACAATTCGTCAATGACACTTTTTGTAAAAGTACTTTTCATCAAAGACATAATGTTTTGTGTAGGTACTTATTAATGTAAAATATTTATTTAAATATATCACGAAAAAAGTGCATGTATAGTATGTATATACATTGAGTACATAATATATATATACTTAAGATGACGCTACCCATGCATTTGTTGTCTCCGTCTTACACACATAAGACATAGAACATTTTCCTTCACTGGTTTCAATAGTGTGCTGTTAGTTATAATATTAGAGTGAATTAACCCATCATCAAAGTTATACGTAAGAACATTATCTATGCTTAAGTGTTGGCGGATTTTTGGATATTTTAATTTTCAAGCGAGATATGAGCATTTTTAATGTGTGTTATTTCACATACTCGTATCTTGCATGAAAATGAAAATATTGAAAATTCACCCACTCTTAAGCATAGATAATGTAAGGACCTATAAGTTTGATGATACTTAAATTCACTCTAATATCAAAACTAACAGCACACTATTCAAACTAGTGAACGAACATTTGCTATGTCGTAAGTTGGTAAGACGGACACAACAAATACGTGGGTAGCGTCTTTTTAATGGAATAAGCACCTATTTTTAAGTAAGCTGGTTTTAAGGGGTTTTATATAGGCAGTTTCAATGAAATAAAAAAAATAAAATTTAAATGTTTAATATATTTAAATAATAATTCAAAGTAACACATAAATGGTCCCGTGCCAGTAATATTTTAAAAACGAGATTATATATAAAAAAAAAATGTTTTGCATGAATAAATAACCACTCAGGTTACATTCATAGTTAAGAAACCAAATTTACATACAAATACGATACAGAAGATAATATTTTATGTCCTGCGGCGTTATTACATTTTTTGATAAGTATCATTTTTAAAAACAAAGTCATTTTATTTGATAAATATAGATCTAATGGAGTTTAGAACAATAATAACTGTTTTTGTATTTGTGAATTTATAGTATATATAAAAATAAAAAATAAAACAGAAAAGCACAGAAAATATGGTCTTACAATTAGGTACAGCTTGAGTGGCTATTGTTCGTTAAACGATTTTACAAGCAACTTACTATAATAGTCGTGTGGTATAGTAGGGTATGGTGCTTTTACACATCACGCTTCCAACCCCCATCCACTCCACTCGACCATCTCTGGACATTATAACTTCATTTGGCGTTTATATACCGGCGTTCGCTGACACACTTTATCAACCTCGTCTTATTTTTATAATAACAAAATTAAATAAATCTCTTCCGTCTTTCATCCCCCGCTATATATTGTTGTACACTAACGTTATTTTCCTCCTAACTTAAATTATTATTTATTATTATTATTATTATTATTATTATTATTATTCTACCCACACGTGATTCCTGTACCACATTAATTCATTCGCTAGCTGCACGGCCTACAGCTAGTGCAATCTCGGCGACGGCCGCGGCGGCGTAGTTATTTTCGTTGGCCGCCGTCCCTGTCACCGTCGTCCCCGCAGTCACCTCCACCGTCACGGCGTGCGCGCGCGCGCTTGTGTCGTATCCTTTTCTTGTGCTTGTGTGTGCGTTTTTGTGAACGTGTGTGTGCGACTTACGGTGGCGGCCACGACAACGTGTCTCCGGCGCCGGCCGTTTAAATCGCTGTCGCAAACCTGACGCCACTGCATCAGCCACAGCCACCGGCGTAGCGCGTTCGTTGATCTCGCTCTCTCGCTCTCTGGCTCGCGATCGGGACGGACCCTGTGCGTGCGACGCGCCCGATTTAGATTTTTGGAAATCACAAAAATATCAACACCAACGGTGACAGCGACAAAATATATTACATAATATCGCTCGTAGCTCGACAAATAGTGATAGGTTTACTGCACTGTTAATATACACATATTATAATATTATAGTCGTAGGTACCTATTTACGCGCCCCCTTCGTATACTCACCAACAGTGGCCACGGACACGGTATATTTTATACTATACCTCACTCGCGTCCAGTCGCCTGACCGATACGGCGGTGGTTGGGCAGAGCGTACTGAAATGCTGGTAACCCCTACAGACGCCGTGGATCGACCCGACGACGAGGAACGGCGTCGTCAATCGGACAAGTTTGACGATGCCGGCGGAGGCTGTGACGGCGGCGGTGATGGAGGTGACGTTGGTGACGGAGGTGTCGGAGCCGGCGGCGGTGGTGGAGGCGGAAAAAAGCACCGTAAGAGGCGGAACCGCCGGAACCGTCAGCGACAACAGGCGGAAGAAGACCACGAGGCCGCGGTCGAATCTCTTACGCCTACCATAGGGTGAGTACCTAATACTGTCTGTTCTATAATGCTCAGCGATGAGACATTTATAAACTATATTTTGAAATATTACCGATGAAGATGTAACATCTACGGTCGTTTTGGGTGCAAAAGAATCGTGGAAATGTCTACTTAATGTAACTGATGGTCCACGGGCCTAAATGCCTATCACGTTTACCATTTTCCAGAAAAACTTATAATTCCATAATACCTATATATATAAGTCATATTAATCCATAGGGGTTTAATCACATTTTAATCAAAAAAATTAATTGTTAAAGCAACACAGGTAGTGATAATGCACAGGTATCTTGAGTATAATATTATATAATTATGTTGGAAAGCATATGTTATCTAGAAAAGCTCCGAAATTATATTAGGCCAATTTTTCTAAAAACTGTTTATAAATTACTTAAGCATATTTTGACTTCAAAACACTTAGAATTAATAAATAACTTATTAGGTTATGAAAACCACTAATGTAAAATAAAAACTGGTAAGAACCTTTACTCCAAAATATCGGTTCAGATTTAAGTTTTAGTAATAATTAATATAATAATATTCAAGAGGTTCTGCTTCTAAATTCTAATATCTGGATTTTGAGTTTAGCTACTAAAGACTACATGATATTATAGAGTTGGTCAATATATTTACTATAATAGTACAATATAATAAATAAAATAAAAAAATAGCCTATAGAGAAACTGTTTGCTTTTTAAAAAACAAACCTCATAATTTATTATTATATCTCACTGTACTGGTACTGTAGGAATTTACGAGGTCCTAACCACTATTAAGTACCATCTTTTAACTGTATAAAAATATAATAATTGTATCATTATGTATATTACCCACTTATAGTTAATAATGGATGTTTTTGTTTATTTAAGTTAATTAAAATATAAAATTGAAGTAAGTCATTGTCAAGAGATACCTGTCCTCACCTGTTATGAAAATAAACCATTTTATGAGCTTTTTTTGGCAATTATCGTACAAAAATCAACTTAAGTAAGTTACCTACACTATAAAAATAATTACATGTCAATTGACGAACAAACAAAATAAAAAAAATTGAAAAATCACTCGAAAAAATTAATCTTTACAGAAAGAGGTTAAACCGACTAAAATAAAATTTCAAACACGATCAATGATAACCTAAAAGTGAAACATAAACATATAATAAGAATTATTAACTAGGGTGGATGGTAGTATTACCTAAAAAGTTCAAAAATACAGACACTGAAAAACATAGAGGAACGCCAACATTTCTGAAAAATTAGAAAAGTACTCGATTTACCTTCCTCCCAGGTTTCAGCACTGGGTACAAGTTATTTTGCCAATAACATTAAATATTCTTCAATACTTACAAGTTATAAGTTTATTAGTTGATAATAAATATTAGTATCTATTACTAGAAATATTTTAAGAGTATACATTATCGAATGTAAAATAAATATCTAAATTTTATAAACAAGAAGTACAATCTAAAATAATAATATTATGTATAGTTAAATTTATTATCAATTCATTTTTGATTTATTGTTTATGTGAAAACTTGTACTACTGTAGGACGTAGGTATAATAGATAATAATAATTATTATTATTGTAATGATAGATAATAATCCTGGTTTCCGCATAGAACATAAAAATAAAATACATAGACCTTACTTCATAGACCTGCAGCCCTGTGCAGAATTCAAATCGGTACAATGCTGGTATTAGTATAAAGTATTAACTTTAAGTTATAACTAACACATGTGTATTCGTTCATTAATATAGGAATATATCGCGTGGACAATTAATGACCAAAATTGTGTCTAGTTAATAATACTAAGTCTTTGTTAAGAACGTTAGGTTATAAGTTATTAGTTCGGGAATATTTAACTCTAAAAGTTAGAACTTAATATGGAGAACATTTATGCAGGACTAAATTAAGTTATTAACAAGATACATTTCATTTTTTAAAATTACTCTTAATATACACATTGAATGTGTAACTTTCAATTTTTTTAATAAAACCTACCATTTTATAAAAATTATTATTATTACTATTACATATTTATTTTCCAACAAAAAATAATGCATCCTGCTATTCCTTTTTATTGTACATAAATATATGCAAATCTATTAAATTAGTTTTTAATTTTAACCACAGTCGTAGATATTTAGATAATATGTGTGTGCATAATTTTAACTTGAAGTACTTACTTATTGTTTTACGAAAAATTACTCGAAAGTGAATATTATACCAAAGACTATAATATTATAAATAGTAATCACTTGATAATTCGAAATTCAAGGGAACAGAGCTAAAAATTCGATTTACAGAGGTTTTTGATTTACCGAGTGTTTGAATAATCTAGGTGAAAAAATAAATAGTTCGATTTCAAGAGAGGTGAAAAATATTATTACATATAGTACATTCATACATTGTATTTATTATTTATTACATTTAGCTTATTAAATTATTTATTATTTATTATTTCTTTCATTATACATACATTAATTTATTTTGACATTTATTTATTACATTATCATATGTTGTTAAAGAAACCTGTCATTTTTTTGATTGTTATAAATTGTTGGCCACAATCTGGTCCATAACGTTATACCGTTACCTAATTTACTAATAGCACTATAATAATAAAGTAAAATAATATTTTATAACCATCGTTCTTAGTTTCATTACGAGTACGTCAAATAGATTATTTATATTATGTACATAATCTTTGTATATTTGTATTTAAAGAAATTTGAATTGTAGAGTATCTTCCATCGATAGACATTTCAAATTATCGAAGGGACCGAAATACATTTTTTTTCTGATAATAGAGGGGACTAAGCGCTTAATTCAATTTACGGAGTTTTTCTAATTATGGAGTTACGAATTATCGAGTAACGAATGTATTTATTGGGGGTGGCATACATATTTACAATATTCTGGTAATAGGTACCTAAACTAGCAATAGCCAACCACTCGGAGACATTTATTATATAGGTACTCATGATAAATTTAATTTTTTAGTAACACAAATGAGTTACCTGTAAAGTATATTATAGAATAATATATATTATATGTTATGCAATTAAATTTAATAGGAAAAACAATTCGAAAAAGAAAATTAAATGGTTAATTATTTACCAAATTTAAATTAGCAGTACAAATCAATCCGCATAACTTCGAACGTATAGAAATAATTAAATATTAAAAGGCACATTCAATTATTTAGTAAGTAAGAACCAATAGCTAATGATTAGAAAATTATCATAATATTAAAATATATTTAACTAATAATAATAACATATATTTATATTTATAGCTACAGTTATTTTAAACTCAAATATATATTTAAATTAAAAGTGTCACCTGGACGATCTCCCCTCCCAATTCCATTAAATTTCAGCTGGTACAAAACTTTCATTCATTCATTGGTCCAATAGTCATAAAGACAAATTAATTTATATTTTTAAGCCTATTGTTTTACTTGGGTACGTCAACTTTTTATATTTGATTAGGTACATACAATTATAAAAATTTGTTTATTCCAAGCATTGTACGAGATGTCTGTATTAAATATAAAAATACAATAAGTATTTATAAAAAACAAAAAATGTTATTTTGTTGAAATTTAGCCTATAGTCTATGTATTTAGCTGTCTTGCTGTCTTGCTGCATGCGAACGATTACTATAACTGGTATATTGTATCAAATAATATCTTCTACTTTAGCCATACAGGCTACTATTCTTATACATCTTCTACTTTATCCATATAAGACCGCATATTTATTATAATACTATAAATAGCCGACTTGGAGATATAAGCTTGAAGTCAATAGAGTAGCCGCCTCCCATCATCTAAGAAGTACATTTTTCGATTACTTGACAATAAAAAAGATTAAAGCACGTTTAAAATAATTTATAGTGAATGTAAAAAAATGGATACGTAAAATATACATATATCGATATTAGCAACTCTTTCGATGTCACATGCGTTGTAAAATAACTTAAAAAATAAACCATCACGTATAGACAATTCTGTACTTTCTACATGTACCTACAAACAGTCTCGGTAGAACCAACGAGTAACCCAGTTTTAATCGGCGAGCCTCACATTATTTTAGTAGATTAGGTGTAAAATAATAATAATTTTCCATAATATTTTAACGGGTTTTGAGCAAGTTAAAGTTCTGATTCTGGGTAGGCCGGTACTAGTGGTACTTACTCTACCGGCACTGTGTACTGTGTATACTAATTACTCACACTAAGTCAGACAAGAAGAATGAATAAAATACAAGTTTTATACAAAAAGTAATAGAAATAGCATAATGAATAATTATTTTGAACATAAAAGTATAGTTTGTTGTATACAATTTTACTACACATTTATATACTTCATGAATTACACCAATTGTATGAGATTAAAAAATAAAAATTGACTTTAGAATCTATATTTTGTCAGTTTATCATGACGCCTCAACGTTTTATTTTATAATACTTTAGTCATATTTTGATCGGCTTCGATATTTTTAACTTGTTTGAAAATAACAATATAAAATAGAGGATTTTTTAAACATATCTACGACCTACCTGTCGGCTGTTACCTGTCACGGAACACCAAAATATTTCTATTGTCGCGTATACCTATTATTATTACGATATAAAAATATTAAAAAATAAAATGTATAATAAATAAATTATAATAATATACGCACGAACCGGCGCTCTCGTACCAATAGTTTAAATGTTTAATGTACACGGTATACCGGCTAGACTCATCGCCGGCAACACTTGAGTCTCCCGCGCACGCGTCTAATAATAGTTAACTGCGGCGACAAACCACGGTCGCCGACCACTGCCGTTGTCGAAACATGAGATACCGCCGCCGCGAGTTTATAATTAATCGCATTCGCGTGCTTCGGTGAATATAATTATTTTAATAATTTTTATATTTTATTTTTCATATTGTTATAATTTATAATTGTTTTTTTTTTTATACGC